ATCATTAGAGATAAAAATAGAACTTCCACTTAGAAAAAGGAGTTTCACTTATCTTTTCATTGCGCTATTTAAATGTAAATTTAAGATATAATGGCTGGCAAAGGGTTCAAAGGCAAAATCTAACTTTAGTGAAGTGTTTTTTATATTTTAAAGCTAAATGTATTTAAATTGGAAAATTGAGTCTTTCATTAATGCATCAATCAGAAAATTCCTTCAAAAGTCAGAAATAAGATTTTTTTTAGGAACATACTAAAGTTGAACAATAAATGAGATGTCAAACCAGTAGAGTTTAAATATGTAGAAACATCTCGCTCATGATGGGAGTAAAATGAGAAAACGGCTTTAAAAGGATCAATAAACGACATTTAACCCCTAATGCTGCAGCAAACAGCTGCTAGCTCTGAGAAGATATAAACGATTTTTGTACCTTGAAGCAAAGTCACTCTCCATCTGTGTGTCTCAAAAACCCATTTGTTCCATATTCATTTAAATGTGGTGGAAATACATATTTTCTCATGATATATTCATGAATGCCTTAACTATTATTCTTCTGATAGCATAGAAACAAAAAAATAGCTCAGGAATTGAACATATTGTGTGCTGTTAAAAAATCCTTGACACTTCTGTTAATATGATAATAATAATAATAATAATAATAATAATAATAATAATAATAATAATAATAATAATAATAATAATAATAATAATAATAATAATAATAATAATTATTATTATTATTATTATTATTATTATTATTTTACATTCAGAAAATAACATCTTCCTCTATCCAGGCTATTCTTAACAAAATTGTCTCTTATTCAATATTTAATTTAAAAATACGTTATTGTGCTCATTTGACATATTTTGCTCACAGAATACATAATTGCATAAAGGGTTAGAATGTAATATTGTTACTTATTTTAACAATAAAATCAGGTCAGACGAGTCTAAATCTTTCAGTCCTGAAAGTATTTTTTCAAGTTTTTGTTGCAATCTCCCTGAGGTGCACAGTAACCTCAGACATCACTAGGTGGCATGGTTACACCTCAGGATGAAAGACTGCCAATAAAATATACATCTATTGCCATGGCAACCAGATTTCCCTAGTCTCTGGTACAGTTAGCGTTCATGCTAAAATCATAACAAGTGTGAATTCCCTCTGCATGTTTTTTTAATTGAATGAAAAATCTATTTAGAATGAAATCCTTCCTCTACATCTACAGCAGAATTAGTTTGATCACATTCAGGGACGATAGGAACCCTGGTTGGTAAGACCAGTGTGTCTGGAGTTTGAGCGAGCACAGCTCAGGGTCACGACAACAGGTCAGTGCAGTACAAAGGCCTCATCGGGGTGGGGGGTGTGGGGACTAACTCCTACTGCACTTACGTGTGCCTCTTACTATGAAGGGGTCATGCCAACCAGCAGGCCTCGAAGCTCACGGCGGGATTGAATGGTAATTGAAGTATTTTCTGTTCTGTTGTTGGTTAGTTCTCACAAAGAGAGACATTAGCAGATGAAAGCTTTTTAATCTTCTGCTCTCCTGCCCTGTTGATTGGTGGAAATATAGAGGAATATGAATGTTTTTTGGAACTAAAACATAAGAAAAGATGCAGAAATCAATACACAGAAGAGGCTTTGCATTTTAAAACAAGGCCTTTGCACTGCCTCTGTGAATTTATTCTATAAAGATTCTGAGGTAGAAATCTGAAATAATATCAGGAGTAAGAATTGTTTTTAATTCTTTGATTAGACATTGAGGATCTAATATGTGTAACGTCCAGAAATGGTCAGTTTTCACCTACATATTGACCTACATGTCACCGGTCATCTGCAGACACAATTCCATCCTCTAAAGTGGATTTTAAATTCTATCTCCCAACAAGCCAGAAGATTCTGCAGCTCTGAACACATGATAACATATTGTCAACAAACTGTTCCCGTTTCAAGGCCTTAAGCTTCTCTTTATCGCTTCTATAGGATTCCTCCTGCCTCTGAATAAAAGTGAACATTTTCAGCTCATATGAGTTAATTAATCATGAAATGAAATGAACAATATGGTTAAATTAAATGTTTTGATTAATATGTGCCTAAGTTAATAAGGTTGAGATGAATATTGTCCTGCAATGATCCATTTGTCTGATAATCAGCGTACGTGACTTGACAAGCTAATCAGCCATACACTTATACACATGACGAGATGATAAAGTTAAAGTAATTTCATGCACATAGATATGTTCTTACCCACAAATCAGAGAACCTTATATCTGAAAGAAGGCGTGATGTTCTGAGGTTGGTCTGTTAACACCTCTTAACATGGCACGTCCTGATTGGCCAGGTAATCATAATATGGGAATATTAAAACAGAAAATTGCTGAGTGATTCAATTAGTTCTAGAGGAAGCTTCGGACCAGCCATCCAGAGCAAAACCTCCTCAACCCAGAGCATCTTTTGACAAGCTGTCAAAAACCTGCTACACGCTGAAGCTTGCACAGTAAACGGTTCCTGCAGAACAAAACTGATACAGTTCCGACTCCTTAAGAGTGTCATGATGTGATGTGGGTGGCGGCGGACCATGTGTGGTGGAGCTGACCAGGAGGCATGAATGCAGGCACGGATAACATAAAAATGGATTTAATGGCAGGATACGGCAGGAAACAACAAGACACAACACAACAATGATCCAACACTGACACATACAAGACGGGAGGTATAACTACACAGGGAAACAATCAGGAACACATGGGCAGGTTAACAAAGGGCAGGTGAGACCAATAAACAACTAATCAGGGGCAGGAGAGAGTAGGAGTCAGAGAGAGGTAGGAGCAGATCGTGACAAAGAGTCCTTCTCTACGCAAACTAGTTCCATCCTGTTGTGCCTGGTGACATCTCTGGACAGAAGAAGTCGGTGCTGCGGTTAATCTACTGAACCTCGGTGCCCAGAGGTCATCTGACCTCCTTGACCTACGGATCCGTGAAGAGGATCTCCAAAAAGGGTGAGGTAGACACAGCATGATTGCGTCTGATGTGGTTTTGATAAGACCCAACTAATGCAGACCAAATTCTTTTCACACCCAGAACATAGTTTGTTCTAGATACAAGATTCTGATAATGATAAACACACACCATTCCATCATCATACATCACATCCCATCCACTTATAGTCATCCATCACATTCGTCTTATTTAACTTGTCTTGTTTTATAAAATAATCCTAGAATCTTCTGATTAAACATTTAAAGACCAATAATGTTGATATCCTATATTTATACAGAATATCACAGCTTATTGGTCATAAGTAAAGGTAATGTGTTAAGCTTAAAAGCAACAATATATTTACTCCCTTCTACATATGTGTTTTAAGTGAATTTTAACTAGTGGATATCAAAAATACTTCAACACTCTTGCCTTTAGTTTGAACAACTCAAATTATTTCCTTTTTTTATTTTCAATCATATCTCGACAACCAGAGATGTTTCTACTTTAGTTTCTGTTATTCAAATGTGTTCCAGCTAAAGTCAAAACCTGTTTGATTGAACTTGAGCACAATTAAATCAGTAATTATGCAAAGAGGCAGAATGTGAGCGATGACATGATGGAAATCCTGCAGCAACCTTTAGAAGAAACACCTAAACACAGTGTGGCGTGTTTATTACAGAAGGTGTGGCTATAAAATATAGACTTGACTTGTGTATGTTTAACCAGCATTAGTATTGTTGTAATAGACACGCCTCTGGAATGCCACATGTTTTTGTAAAGGAATGTTCCATCTACGCGTATAATCATTTCAAACAAAAGCTCATCAGCTGGCAGGATGTTTCACTCTTTGTTTGTATTTATGGGATTCATTTAGAGTTAACTTTTTAGATAGGTGTGGACAAGTGCAGCTCAGTTCTGTATGAGGTGTGGATTGTGGAGTAATACATGCAAAAAAATCTCTCTCTCTCTCTCTCTCTCTCTCTCTCTCTCTCTCTCTCTATATATATATATATATATATATATATATATATATATATATATATAGATATATATATATATATATATATGCTGACATACTGACATACTGTTTTTAAATGCGCTCTATAAATAAAATTGGATTGGATTTATATATAACAATGACGACTGACGTTGAGAAGTTTTTGCTTAGTAAAGTTAAAAATTGTTTAACAACGTCTAAATGTGTAAGCTTTATTCCAACATTTAGAAATCTAAATATGCAAAGGTTAATGGAAAGATTTCAAAACAAATCTGAATAATGATACATATAAATATTTAACATTAAATCTAAATAAAATATTAGCATATGAATATTTAGAATGAAATATAAAGTCAAAAATATGAATTTGAAATTCAATCAAAATAAAGCTTTAGAATGAAATCTAATTATATAAAGTAAAACCGCACTATTGGTTAAATGTAAATATTCAGAATCAAATAAAAATATGATGTAGGGGACTAAGTACTACAAGCAAAGTTAGTAAATGAGAGTATAGCTTAGAGTCTCAAAGTCCCTTTGAAGGCGAGTCTGTTCAACGTAGATTATTTATTAATTTCCTGCCTTGCTTGTCCCTGAATATTGATAATAATCAATAAGTAAACACACGCACGCACACACGCGCGCGCACGCACACACACACGGATGACTCAGATGACAGTCACATGTATATTAGATTGGATGAGTAATCTAGCATTTTGACATACTGTACAAAAGTCACTTTTATTTGTTATGAGACGCTCAGGGTGACTATTCTGTTAGTTAACTTTTCTTGAGTATTGCAATCTCAGCGCCCCATAGGCGTCTCACCGCCCCGACATTAGTGGAACTTCAGCACATTTTAATGAAAATTACCACTTTTACGCGCAAACTCACTAAAAAAGTCCACGCAACACCCTTAAACGAGCATAAAAACGTTGTGGTGGTTACAGATTAGGTGATTATGAGGCTGCTGTTTTGTAGACACGCGGTAAAGGCGCCGCAGGGGGAGGGAAGGACGTCACGCTGCTGTCGCGCACAGAAAAACGCGCACAAGAATATTCACCCTAGACATTTAACTTTACGCACAAGTTTTTTTTGACTTCCACACCTCAAAGCCAACACATACCGGTCATGGTAAGTGACAACAGTCGTTTCCACCCTCGGCTGCTTGTCCTTTGACCCCCGGAGCTTCCAAAATAGAGGAGAGACCTTGTGGAGGAGAGACTTGAGTCCGAGGCGCAGTTGTTGACAGCGCACTTTTGCACGCCACTCAAAAAGAGTTTCAGGCGAAGAAGGCAAACCAAACTACGCACCGAGATCAAGGTAAAGTTTTGTGAGAGGACAGCGGGGGTTCTGTCTAGTTCCCGATGCGGACTAAAAAAGTTCTCTGCTCTTAAACCTCTCGTGAAGACAACTTTAGACAATCCTCTCGCAGGGCTGACGACTCCTGCAACTCCCGAGCGGCTCTGCTTGTATGGGTGAGTATCGCATTTTTACTTCATCTTATCCAGACTTTTAGCTAAATTAAAGGGAACGCGTAAAAATGGTCAGTAGCAGCAGAAGTCCGCCAGATAAAAACTTGTGTCAGCTGCAGCTGCTCTGATGAACCTGGTGGGTTGGAGCCAGTGCGCAAAATCCTCATAAAATCCCCAAACTAGTAAAAAAGCCTGCTGCACCCACGGATTTTATAATGTTATCCCCTACATAGGAGGAGCGCCATGATAATACAAGTTAATATGTGGGATTAGATCGGATTAATATCAGATTTATCTTAAACTCAGAACTTCTACCTCCGAACACCTTAAAACATCTCATTTAGTGAAATGACATTTTGTCTGAGAGTGAAGGGGAGTGCTGGTGGTCAGGTGACCTGTCCATGCTGAGTGTTTCAGCACGTCATGGCAACAAAAATGGGTCAGCCTCTGTCTCTGGATGACCCAACTTGACTAAAATGTGATAATTAGGGATTTTGGGATTCCTGCTCCCTGGGGTGATGTTTTAGTTCAAGCTTTAATAATCGAATTTACAGAAGATCAAGCTGTCACAAGAGATCAGGATAAAGCTTGGTGCACATCCTGTATCGTGTTTGTTGTGAGATCTCCTTCAAATTCTGTTTACTTTATAGTGAAGTATTAAGTGATCAGATAGTTGTATTTAAATTAGTGGTAAAGTGTCCACCCTGGGACTGGGAGATTGGGATTCAGGTCACGGTCAGGTCATACAAACGTCTTTAAAAATGGGAACTAATGCCTCCCTGCTTGTTAGACCACCAAACAGTTCCTGAGCACAGCCGTAGCTGCAGCTCACCACTCCCCATGGGGGTGGGTCGAATGTGGAGATGAGTTTAACCAGTGTGTGATGAATTAATGGGACTTTCACTTTAAATGTGGTGACTGAAAGTTATTAAAACAAGCATAAAACTGTAAAATTATGATAAATCACTGAAATTAGGCAAGTTTTATAGAATAACCACTCTGAAATGATCCCAAATTTTGTCATGTCATATAGATGTTATGACTTCTGAAAACATTATACAATAGTTTTCATCACCCAACACACAAAAAAGAGCGTAAGCTGAATGTGACTGAACACTAAATTAATTTTTGCATTTTTGTAATAATTTAGAAATTTGTTTGGTGTAACAAAAAAAATCGCAGACCTCTCGTCTCGAAAAATGCCCTAAAACTGGTGGTCGTAAATATTTCACGCCAATCTTTGGGTGATCTCTGAGATTTTATACTAACTTTTAGAATGGAAGGATGAAGAATAACATCTTCTGGTATAAATATTCCTTCTGAGGTTTTAAATGTTACATTATAAGATTGTATTCCCATGAAAACATGGCATTAGATTGTTTTACTGCCATTTAAATCACCGCAAATGATGCTCACCTTTCAACCATTAGGAGGGTGTTGTCAGTTTCACTGACAGTTCTCTTTTACCAGAATAAATTACCAGTGTGGACCCACATGGAAATGTCAGAACAGCAATTACCAGGTGAAGTCTAAGAGAAACCTGTAGTTTCCCAAACTTTAGCTGCTGCACTTGAATCAAAAAGCTCGTTGAATTGCTCAGAATTAAATTAAAGTATCGTAGTTGTCACACACACTGGTGTGGTGTGGTAAAATTTGTCCTCCACGTTTGACCCATCCCTGTGGGGAGCGGTGAGCTGCAGCTGGGGCTGCACTCTGGAGCTTTTGAGTGGTTTAACCCCCCAATCTAACCCCTTAAAGCTGAGTAAGCAGGGTCCCATTTTTTATAACCTTTGGTATGACCCAATCGGGATTTGAACTCCCTTCTCCCAATCCCATCGGACACTGCCCTTTTTCCTCAGGAACACCCTGCTGGGAGGGTTTCTTCAAGTAAAAATTCATACAAAATTAATGAGAATTGAGCCGTCCCCAAGTGATCGGCATTTGTTGATAACGTAGGCAGGGAAAACAACAACCTAAAGGTCTAAAAAGGTTTGAGGGCATACTCAGAGAGTGGATTCAAACAGGAAATGGCACAATATTATTAGCTGATATGGTAGAAATAAAAACTTGTGGGTATTAATCCATCATGAGTTATTTGCCAAGACCATTGAGCCTCTTAAAGAAAAGCAGAATCCTGCTATGTTTTTAGTTGATAAAAGGTTGAGCCACTTGTCCTTTTGACACAGAGGCGTGTAAATCTTACCTCCCTCGTAGGTCTGGCCGGTTATCAGGATGCTGAGGATAATGTCACTGATGGTGAAGTTGCAGTCAGTCCTGTTTGACGTTTGGTGTTTTTTTCTCTCCCTATCAGCCCACAGCTGATGGAAAAGGTCCAGAATGTTTATGTCTCATGCAGTCGTCTGTATCTTCACTGTTTCACGCAGATAAACAAAATGTTGTCAGACTCCTACACGTTTTAAAAATGACAACCGAGAACAATGAGATGATTTACTATCACATAAAATTATGGAAAATTTAGTAGCAAATTGATCAAATGGGTCCAGTTTATCTTCTTTATGGAGACTAGAGCTGGTCAAAAGGTTCACAACAGAAACTGTTTCTGGAAATAAACAAATTAGTCGTAGGGATGTTCAGATGCGTTTTATTCTGGTCGATACAAAAATCACAGTAGAGACAATAAACAGTCCATGTTTACTCACTCACATCTTAGACACACTTTATAAAAACTTGATGACGAACTATTAGTTTTTGTTTCAAAAGAGGGATTCAATTACTTTAACCAAACTAAATCTGAACTAGTGGAACACAGTAATGGCACAAAATGTGTCCTTATTCTTCACCTCAGACTTAAGTTTAATTAAGAGCGTTTCTCGTCTGTTGTTGCTCCGGTTCTGTCCGGTCAGTTTAACTCTGCTGAGGACAGCTTCAGCGGATTTGTCTCTATAGTTTTTATAATATCAACATGCCCTGATGGGTTTGTGTTCACAAATGCATCATTAAAATCGATATTTATTGTTATACACCTCATTTATCATGAAGTACATTTAAACCCCTGCTTCACTGAAGCACTGAGGGAAGTAACAACCTCCAGTCGATCTCCATGATCAATGTACAAGAAGTAAAGTAACCTTGGGCAGGTCATACGTCTGTCACAGGGCCTCAGAGACAACCGTTCACACACACCTAGGGCTATTTGAATCTTCAGCTTACTTGTCATGCATGATTTTGGACTGTGGGAGGACACCCACACATTCACAGGAAGGCTTGAGCTGTTGGGAACGAACTGTGACTCATACAGCAATCATATAAAGGGCGTCAAATTTTTGTTTAATATAAAAGTTATATGAAAAGATCGACTTGAAATGCAAAGTCGCCGGACCAAAGTGCTTCCAACTGGCAGCAAAGTCAAAGAGAGAATGATAAACGTAACCTGGCTCCAGTAATTCACCTCCTGCCAGTTTCCCAGAGGTCCTACACCCAGAAACAGGTACATGCAGCATATGCTGCAACATGCTAGGCATGCCGTTCCCACCTTTTTTACAAAATCTGTCAAAGACACTTGGAGCTAACTGCCCCTCAGCAACGTCTGTAATTGTGTAATTGGTGCCTGCTGCAGTTCGAGGGTAAACCTTACATTTAAAGAGGTGGAGAAGAGACAAACACGCCTCCCGTATTCCAATAAAGTGTAAACATTCCAGCATGTATATGCAGAAGCTTGTTTTGCCAGGTACATTTTGAAGTGCTGCTGAATACGTTGCTGTCAGAACGGAGTATATTTAGCTGTTGTCAGCATTGGAGAGGCTCATTGTTATCCACAAAGATCAGCTAGTGCAGTTTAAGAGCCTTAGCAGGCAGGGGGTGAGTCCCTCAGCCACTTAACCAGGGCGACACTCGGAAGAGCAAAAAAACAAAAAAGAAAAGAAAAACCTCCATAATCAAAGATGCAGTTAAAGCCTGAAGCCACTGCATGAAAAAACTTAACTAAGTGGTTAAATAGACTCCATTACAAACTAATGTTTCACATCTGCCTCCTCCAGATGTTTCAAAGTGGGGTATTTGATGAAATTCTTGTTTTACACAATTTTTTGTCAAAATGTTGTTGATGTGGCCTTGGAGTTGGTGATTCCTCTTATTTAGAAAAGAACAAAGCATAAAAAAGAGACCAGCCCCCTCATAGAAACAGAAAACCATTTCACAGCAGTTTAATAGACCCACATTGTTAATCTAAATCACGTGTGAAGGACTTTGTTGGAGAAGCGGCAACAAAACACAGCTTATTGCTGAACGATACGTTACATTTTAGCTGTCAAATTGTCCACGAATCATCCCAAAAGATGAGGTTGTTAAACCAAATGCAGAAAGAGCTTTTAAGCAAATGGAAAAGGCTGCAAAGTACTCCTGCAGAGATGGAATAAGTGTTTGCTTTTTCCCAGGGAAGCGCAGTAATCACATTTTTTACATATCCGTGGTGTGAGAGAAAGAGCTCCTGTGGATTAGCTGTTTAAAAGCTATTCAAGCTGATAATCTGACGATGCTGCATACATGAATAAATTAGGCCTTCTGAGTCTGCTTTTGAAGGAAGACGATGGCTGTCAGAGAGGATGTGTCAGAACTCATCATCAGATGTCCAGACTGGACTGGACTCACGTTTCTCTCTAGGTTTCTCTCTCTGTAATAGAATGATTAGTCAGAAGATGACTATGGAGGAGAAACTAAGACTCAGATTAGAGGTCGACCGATATTTGTTTTTCTGTCAGCGATGCGGTCAGCCGATGTGTACTGCCGATTTTTATGGGCCAATTTTCATGGCCTACATCCAGACGTTTTCCACCTTATTTTTATGCAAACATTTCAATAATAATATTTGATTTGAAAAGATTCTGAAGCTGAATCAGTTTTTGAACTCTGAACTAAACTGCGAAATTCTAACTTTGTGCACGGCTCAGCGTTAAAGTTTGAAAGAGTATTTATTATGCAGATGCTATAGTGAACATAAGATACATTTAAATTAAATTCTGCCACAGCACCAGGCTGCCCGAGGA